AGCCGTCATGATATGGATGCTACTCATATATTACCTTTGTCCCACTCAACTTTGCCAAGTTGATATTGAGTGGGAAATCAGAATAGTAAAAACTGTGTGGTTGAGGTTTGTGCATAGAAGAGAGAAATGAAGTAATGAACAAAGTCAATTTATTGTTTTAAAAGGAAAGTAACAATGTTTTTTGAGACAAACATAAAAGGAAAGTTGGCAAAGCTCAGTGGAACGGAGGGAGTATATGAGTTTTTATATAAATAAAATTGGAAGATTAATATAATATATGTTTGTATAGCATTTCTATCATATTTTAATATTCTTCTCCCTCCGTCCCTTAAAAATTTGTCAAGTTTGACAGGCACAGAGAATAATGAAGTAAAAATTATGTGATTGAGGTTTGTATAGAGGAGAGAAATAAAAGGGAAGGTGCAAAGTTTTTGGGACAATTCAAAAAAGAAAAGAAAGATTACAAAGTTTTAAGAGATGATTCAATATTTATTACTAGAACTATTCTATATTATAAGACTTGGTTTTAAAAAAGCGTGCGTGAGGCGCGCAAAGGCGTGAGGCGCTTCTAGGCGATGACTTCATCGCATCCAAACATCCCAGGCACAACAGATTTCATAAGGCGCGCCTTTTACCTCGCCTGAAATTTGTTGAAAACCCTAAGATTCCAGAACAATTCATCACTGGCGATGATGGCGAGATTAAAATGTTGAACGAAGACTACGTTATCTGGGAGCAACAGGACCGGATGTTGTTTTCCTGGCTTCTCGCATCTCTCACTGAATCGCAACATGCTCACGTTATTCAGTGTCGTCATTCGTATCAAATCTGAAATGAAATTCAAAAGTTCTTCTAGTCAAACATTGTCACACGAGCTCGTTAGCTCAAATCCGAACTCTACAGCACTGGTAAAGGTGATCGATCTATTACTGACTATCTCCTACGCATTCAATCCATCATTGACGGTCTTACAATCATAGGAGAACCTATATCTACGAAGGATCACATTAATGTCATCCTTGAGGGACTTCCAGAAGAATACGAGGCTCTCGTATCATCTGTTTCTTCACGAAGCGTTCTGGATCCAGTTTCTCTTTCTGAACTTGAAGCTTTACTACTATCCAAGGAACTTCGAGTTAGAAAACAACGTGAATCATCACAACAAAATCTGCTCTCTGCAAATGTTGCTCGCCTAGAAACCTCAACTCCAAATAATGATTCTACATCTCAAAACACTACAGAAAATTCCTCTGCTTATGTTGCTCAATTTCCTAATTACAATAATAATACTCCGTACAGAGGTAGAGGTCGAGGTAGAGGTCGTTGAGGCCCTTCAGAGGACATGGAGGTTTTATGGAGGTCGAAATCATGTTGTTTGTCAAGTGTGTGGTAAATCTTGCATTGGTGTGTTATCACCGTTACAACCCTACATATACCAGTGTCATTTCTGGCAATTCCAACTCATCTTACTCAGCCAATTCATCCATATTCTTCACAGACTTCCACATTTTCAACTCAACAGAAATTTCCTCAATCAATCCACGAGAAAGCCTTCCAGAAAACTACAACTGGGGTTATTCTCCATCCCAAACACCTAATGCAGCCTGGAGCCAGATGTCTCATGTGACTATTAATCCTCCACCTAATCCTTATGCACCTACAACAAGTTGGAATCAGCGACTTCAAAATCCTGTACCCACTGCTGCCCACGGCTGCCTGGGCATCTGCTAACTCCTCTCTCTTTACTTAGACCTCCTCCACATTCTCACACCTGGTTTCCAGATTCAGGAGCAACACATCATGTTACTGCTGATCCACTAAATATGCAGCACAATGAACCTGCAATTACAACTAATAAGCTCTTTATGGGCAATGATCAAGGTTTGGATATTAAGTCTATTGCTTTCTCTCCCTTTTTTTCCCCTTATCATCCCTCTTATACTCATCTTCTTAACAATATTCTCCATGTTCCTTTCATAACCAAAAACTTACTCAGTGTTAGTCAATTTTCCAGAGATAACAATGTTTTCTTTGAATTTCACCCTCATGAATGCTTTGTTAAATCACAAGCTTCTGAGAAGGTCCTGTTACATAGAATTTTGGGTGTAATGGCCCTTAACAAAGGGCTGAGTAAAACATGTTTATCATAGTGGATATCCACTTTTTACAACACACAACATGACAAACACAGGTTTGTGGTTTTCATTATTGAGCAACCATGTTTGAGTGTTTGACACATAAATATATTATATATGTACTCAGCTTGTGGTTTTCCAAAGCTGTTTTCTAGTGTATCAAATAATTCCAGTTTTGTGCTTTTCCAGGATATGGAAGGTGGAACAAGGGCTGTCAGTGGTGCTTTGTGCTTTTTTATGCATTTGGTTCAATATGATGTTATTTACATCATATTTGGTAATTATAGAATAGTATATGTGATATTATCTAAGTAATGTGCTTCACCCGAGTCAGACGAGCGCTTTATTGCGCCTTGCGCCTCAGGCGCTGGGAGGCCCCTAGCGTTTCAAGTGCGCCTTTCAACTTTGACTACCTTGGTGGAGACTGGAGAGAAAACATAGAACCATTGTTGAGAAGGGTCTGTCACTTCTAGCTCATTCTTCCTTGCCTCACAAATAAAGTTCTGGGATACTGCCTTTGCAACCTCAGTTCATCTTACATATAGAACTCCTTCAAAGTCATTTGCCAATTCCAGCCCATATTTCTAACTTTATGGATCCATTCCAGATTACTCTGTTCTTTTCCTTTTATCAAGCCCTATAATAAACACAAAATGGATTTTCACTCTGAAGAGTGTGTGTTTATAGGTTACTCTTCCCAACATTAGGGTTACAAATGTCTCTCACCTTCCGGGAAAGTCCATATCTCCAGAGTTGTTGTCTTTATTGAGTCTAAATTTCCTTATCCTATTCTATTTACTTCCACTATCAATCAGTCCTATACTAACTCTTCTTCACAATCTGCTCCCATCACTATCCTTCATCCAAATTCATCACCACTTATTTCTGATTCATCTCAATCAAACTCATCCACATCCTCTAATATTTATTCTTCAGTCACCTCAAACTGATTCTTCTCACTCAGTCCCTACACACTCCATTACAACCTGATTCATCCCTTTTCATCTCTTCAGAACCCTGGTTCGCAGATTGGTTTGCCATCTCATTCTTCTTCTGATTCTTCTGCACCACTTACACCCTCCTCATCTTCTTCACCTATTATTGCTTTGACTAACACTCACCCTATGAAAACTAGAGCCAAATCTGGAATTGTTAAACCTAGACTTAATCCTACCTTACTGTTAGCTCATATTGAGCCCAGATCAATTAAGCAGGCACTCTCCTCTCCTCAGTGGTTTGCTGCCATGAAATCTGAATATGATGCATTGATTTCTAAGAATACAGGTCTCTGCTTCCTCTTCCTCCGTATAAACAGGCTATAGGTTGTAAATGGGTGTTCAGGGTAAAGGAAAACCCATATGGCTCTTTGAACAAGTTTATAAGCAAGATTAGTTGCTAAAGGTTTCTATCAAAGGCTTGGTTTTGACTTTGGAGAAACCTTTTCTCCAGTTGTTAAATCCATTACTATCATGATTCTTCTTACTCTTGTTGTCTCCCATCAACGGTTCATTCAACAGTTGGATGTCAACAATGGCTTTCTTAATGGGGATCTTAATGAAGTAGTTTATATGGTACAACCTCCAGGATTTCAAGCAGAAGACACATCTTTAGTTTGCAGACTTCACAAGTCTCTATATGGTCTGAAACAGGCCCCTAGGTCCTGGTTTCACAGGCTGACTGCAGTCCTATACAATGCTGGGTTCAAGCAAAGCAAGTGTGATCCTTCCTTGCTTATCTTTACATCTTCTGGTATTCAAATATACATCCTGATTTATGTTGATGACATCCTTGTCATTGGAAACAATCCTGCAGCTACCCACAAACTCATTCACAAACTGCATTCTTCATTTTCTCTTAGACACTTGGGAGACTGATTTCTTTTTAGGAATCCAGGTTCACAAACTTCAAGATGGCAGCTTACACCTCTATCAAGCTAAGTATGTTAGAGATTTACTCAATCAAGTTGGCATGATAGACTCTAAGGGAGTTAAGACACCTATGGTCAGTAGTTGCAAGCTCACTCATGGAGGGAGTGATTCACTGCTTGACAATATGCTATATTAACAAGACCTGAGATAAGCTATGCTGTAAACAAGGTCTGTCAGTTCATGGTTGCACCTCTACAGACTACAAGAGCATTGGAAGGCAGTTAAACATGGAATTATTATCAAACCCATATCCTACGCTCTCTCTCTGGCACCATTACACCATTACACATGGAATTATTATCAAACCCATTCCTTTATCCACCATGTCTCTACCCATTTCAGCATTTTGTGATGCTGATTGGGCCTCAGATCCTACTGATAGGGTATCTACATCAGGGTCTTGGATTTTTCTTGGTCCAAATATTATTTCTTGGTGGTCCAAGAAACAGCTGTTGTTGCCAGATCCTCAGCTGAAGCTGAGTATAGAAGTGTGGCTGATACCACAACAGAATTTCTATGGGTTCAGTTTCTTCTTCATGAACTACAAGTTCCCTTTACCACTCCAAAAATCTATTGTGACAATCTAAACACTGTTCAACTGGCACATAACCCTGTGTTACACTCTTGAATCAAGCATATGGAGATTGATCTGTTTTTTGTGCGAGAGAAAGTCCAACTAAAGCATATTTGGCCGGTTTGGGACCGTAACCGGATTGTACCTAGACAGTTCAGTTCCTGGTAGAGGTCAACTCTCCCGTGTTGACCCCTACTCTTTGCTCTTTTATGACATTGATGACTTGATTATATTTCAGCTCATTTATATTTAAATTCGAAAGGAGTTGTACGTGGACATCCGGAAAACATCATATGTGAGCATCATGAATGAAGTACATCTGTAATTCTCATTCCATTTTCTTTATTTTTTTGCAATAAACAGAGCAGAGAACTACAACACGTCAGCGGTGGAATTCTTGAGGCGTCTTCCCGGGGTGACAGAATCCAACTACAGGGCCATAATGGAAGGGTGCAAATGCTTGGCTGATCTCTCTCTTCTTCCAATGGAGAGACTTGCTGAGCTTATGGGCGGCTGGCGACCTGCCAAAACTTTGAGAGATTTCATTGATGCCAAATATCCAACTATGCTCTAGCCACGCTCAGTGTTTTTTGTGAAAGTTTCATTTCATGATCAACAAACATGTTTTCATTTGATTGTTCTTTATTTTGTAATTGTAGAATCATTATAATTTAATAGTTTATTTATATTATGTATTATTTAGGTGCAGAATCATAAATTCTTCATTTATATTCTATATTATTTAGGTGTAGAATCATATATTCTTCATTTCCATCATTACCAATAAAGCCAAAGACTCGCTATTTTTTGCTAGAGAATATGATGAAATAAATCAAATGACTCATTAAAGTGTCTGCGCTTCTTTGGTATGAAGCAACAGTTGGTCCATTTAATTTGCGACGTGATTTTTATCATACTTTTTCTAGAAACCGTCTCTCTATATTTTTATCATAGTCGGTCCATGTAACTCCTTACCCTACTGCAAGTGAGAGCTTTTATGGCATTGAGATAGTGTTGTTGTTCGTTGTATTATTTAGGTGTAGTGCATTGTAATATACATAGTATATTATTATACGAGCATTGTAATAAAATAGTGAGTCGGCCCGGCCCGGCCCGGTACTGTGCGGGCTTGGGACCGGCTCGGTCTGGCGGTCCGGGATCGGGTGTGGACCCGAACTGGTGGGGGAAGCGGGGGCGGGCTCGGTTCATGCAAAATGTGACCCGGCCCGGGTCACAACGGCTATATTTAAAAAAAAAACTTTTGGGCCAAAGATGACCGTTGGGTGGGCTGCAGGGGGGGGGGGGGGTCCGGGGGGTTTGGGGGGTTGGGGGGTGGCGTGGGGTAAAAAAAGCCTATAAATACTCCTAATCTTAAACATTTTTCCATCTCTTCTCCAAGTCTTCCTAAATTCTACTCTTAACTCTCTACTCTCTAATTCTCTTATTCTCCAATATATTATATTTATATATCTACTTTATATTAATTATCTACTTATAATTTATAAATACATACATTATATTACTCATATTTCTTATCTAATTATATATTACTTATACATTTATTATATCTATTAATATAGTTGGAATTATATCTAATTAATTTGAAGTCATTCTATTACTTCCATCCGAAAGACCGAAAGTCCGAAAGAGGTATGAAATCATTCTATTATTTACACTTGTTTAATTTTGTATTAACATTACTTGAAAAAAAACTAGTTAATTCTCATTATAGTTAAAGTTAAAACTATAATAATTTGATTGTTAGTAAAAAAAAATAGGTAGTACAAAAAACTAGTTAATTCTCATTATATTAATTTGATTGTTAGTAAAAAAAATAGGTTGTACACAAAACTAGTTAATTCATTAGTTAATTTGACTATTTATTAAACAATAGTATTGCTATAAATTTTGGTTCAATTCACATTTTTTACTTCACATTTCACTCGAATTAAAGTATTATTTAATTACTAGTAATTTGATTACAGTAAACTTTAAAATAGTAATTTGCTATAACTCGAAGTCTCGAATTAATAGTTAGATTGAAGTCTTATTTAAAATAGTTTTAATTACTCTTATTAATATATTTGTTGCAATTTAATATTTGTTACATTTTTTAGATGGATCGTCCTAGATATTCGGTTGATATGGGTAACCTCGAGCGCAACCGAACGAAAGAGCTTGCGAGGAAGAGATCCCGTAAAGGTAAATCACATATCGGCTATTCATCTCAAAGTCGAGATGATTTTGATACGGGTTACGCAAGGAGGAATGGGGATGCGATGACAGATGAAAACTAGAACAAGAATTGCACCGACATAATAGTCGCTTTTTTCAAGACCAACCGAGGACCATTGACGAAGAAGAGCTCGAGGACGACGATGTGGAGGAAGTAATTCCGGAGAGCCATGACGACGAGGAGGAGGAGGGTGCCGGCAGCCACGACGCTGACGAGCCTGCCTCATCCCAAACCGGTACAAAAAAAGTAAATCTGAACTAATGGCTAATAATTTTTCTAAGTGGAAGGACCCGAACACCGGGAATTGGATCGCAACTTGCAATTGGTGCAAGAAAAACTAAAGCTTGGGGATTTCCGGCGGATACGGATCCGCCACAAGACATCTTAAGTCCAAACACCCGGTGGAGTATGCAAAATTAGGCAGCGGAACGGGGAAGCAAACTCAAATATCGAGGTTTGCAAATAACCAACAAGCTTTTGGTAATTTCTCATACAATGATGCACAAAATTTGACTAGTATGGCTAACTTACTTGTTGAAGAAAATTTGCCTTATTTGTTTTCTGAAAGTCTTGTTTTTCGTGATTATGCACAAACTTGTTTAAATCCGCAATATAGAGGTTATAGACGTATTTGGGGTAATGGACAACTTAGAAAAAATGGCATGATTATTTGATAGAAAGAGGTGAGAAATATGTGGCTTTTCCTAAAGATTTGTCTATTCGTTGGAATAGTACTTATAAGTTAATTGGAGTTCTTCTTAGATATAAACAACATTTTCCTGCTTTTATGAAACAATATGATAACTATATTATAAACTCGGCTGAGATTGACACATGTGAAAAAATTTGTAATGCTTTGATATATTTTAATAATGCAACTGAAACTTTTAGTCATGTTTATAAACCTACCTCAAACCAATTTATTCGTGAAGCTGTTAATCTCGCCGGTGCTTTTTCAAATTTTGAGAATGCTGATTATGTGAGTTATTTTGCTAGTTTTATGAAGGATTTTTTTTTAAAATATTATTCACATATTCCGCATATTTATGGTATTGCATTTGTTCTCGATCCTCGTTTTAGACTTGGTTCTTTAGAAGAATGTTTAAATTATTATTATCCTGTTTTTATGGTCCAACGCCAATGTATGAGGACAACTCAATTGACCCGAAAAAAGAATACAACGAGGTTAGTGATATATTTTATACATTATTTAATGAGTTTCATGCACAATATGGCAATGCGCCCCCTCCCCCGACACAAACATCATCTAAAGGAAAATCAATTTTCAAATCTACATTTGCCAATCTTATTAAAAAAACGAAATCAACTCCCGCTACGCAACAAAGCACAATTAATGAGATTTTTTTGTATTTAACATATGATGTTGATTTTGAAGAAGATAATGATTTTGACGTACTAAACTGGTGGAAGGGAAAAGAAAGAATGTTCCCGGTTTTAGCAAAGATGGCTAAGCAAGTGCTATCAATGCCGGTTTCAACAGTTGCCGTGGAACAAGAATTTAGTTCGGCCGGCAATGTCCTAACGTAATGTAGAACGAGGCTGAGCGCAGAATCTCTTGAGATTCTTATATGCTACCACGATTGGTTGAAGGCGGCCCGTAGAGCTCAAGAAATTGACATCACCCCATCCCAACACTTTATGGATGAATCTACAACCGAGGGTGGCTATACCTATGTCGGAGATTCCGATGGATTAGTATTTCACTATTTCATGTTTTAATTTTACCTTCAATTCTCAATTGTAACTTGTAAACTTGTAGTTCATATTTCAAATAAATATACGTTCATTTTTTTATATGTAGCATTTTTACTGAATTCATAAAATTAATTAATTAATTTTACATTATGTAATTTATTCAAACTAAAACATACAAAAAAAAATTGAAATCAAAAGCCCCAAACGGCTATATAGCCACTTTGGTAGTTTGGTTGTTTGAAATTTGAATCAGTAGAGGCATAGAGCCATTGGGGGTGGGGTGGATGGGGGGTGGGGGTACAAAAAATTCTATAAATACTCTTATTTTCTAACATTTTTATACATATCTTCTCCAACATCCAATCTCTAACCTCCATTCTCCATCTTCATCTCCATCTATCGTAGAATTATTATATCTGCCATTTTTAAGATGAAAAGTCAATATGCCGTTATACGGTATAATTTTGATAAGCAGGAGGACCCGAGGACCGGGATGTGGTACGCAACTTGCAAATGGTGTGGGGAAAAAGTGTAGCATGGGGGTTTCAGGCGGATACGGGATGTCAATGAAGCATATTAAGTCATGTGACAAAGCCAAAGGATCGGGAGGTTCGGGAAGTTCCGATTGATTACAATTTACAAAATGTATTTCATATTGTATTTTTCTTTTAATTTTCAAATGTAGTTCCTATTTCATTTCAAATAAATGCACTTGAAGTTTGTTTTTAATACTTGTAAAAAACTATAAAGTATAAATTATATACAAAAAAAATTAGTTTTAACCGGCCCGGCCCGGCCCAGCGGGTGGCCCGACCCATGATCCGGGCGGGTGGCCCGGCCCGAACCGGACCCGTCCAAACCTCGGGCCGGTCCCGGGTCCATTAGTTACAAACCGGCGGCCCGACCGGGCCTAGGCCCAGCACGGGCCCGACCCGGCCCGAGTCCATGCCTAATTGAAACTCATGGTGTAACATGATATTGTGTTTTATACGTAGTACTATAGAGTAATTCATTATAACTTGTGCTGCCATTAGTTGTTACGGACTTGCCGTACCTTAGGGATGGACCGGTTCTGGTTCGGTCCCGGTTCGGGCCTGGGCCCGGCCGGGCCTCGGTTCATGAAGGGGAGGCCCGGAACCGGCCCGGGTAACCCCCGGGTTCGGGCCGAGCCGGACATCGGTTCTAATTTTTTTTTGGCTTTTCCTAATTAACCCCCAACCCTCCCCCTCACCCCCAAACCAACCCTAACCACCTCAAATGGCCCAAAATACCCAGCCCAACCCAAAAACTTTAAAAAAAATCAAAAAAAAAAATGGCCCGACCCAGGCCCGAACCGGCCGGGCCGGTTCACCCTTTGAAGGGCCCGAGCCCGAACCGCCATCCCACCGGGCCGGGTGGCCCGAACCGGCCAACCAACCGGTTCACCGGGCCGGTCCGGGCCCGCACAGTAGCGGGCCGGTCCGGTTGGCCCGGCCCGAGTCCACTCCTACCGTACATGCAGTTTTGGAATTAGTCATCTAGGGATGGACTCGGGCCGGGTCAACCTGGCCGAAACCGGCCCGGACAAGTACTATCATGAACTGGCCCGAGTTGAGGCCCGGGTCCGGGCCAGGTGCTTTATACTAAATAATAACTTCGTAGTTTTGGAATTTGTTTTGTAATTCATCAAAGCATTCACCTACTTCCTAATTTGGGATTAACAATAATAACTTTATTTTGATAATTTGACCCCGTTTGGAGGAGCAATAATAGGCTGATAACCTTGAAAATCCATGGAAATCACCAAACACATTGGGATGGATTGGAGGAGCAATTTGGCCCTATTGCAGATGTTTTGATTTATGTCAGAGTCCCATAGATCCTCAATGGATGAAATTGGAGTTCTCTTCTCGCTCTCTGAAGCATGGTCAAGATATTCATCTCTC